AAAATTAAACTATGTATGGAAACATCTATAGATGGAAGAAAATAAACATAGACAAGGAATATAATAAAATTGATTTTGTGTGTATTGCGTAATACTCCCCCTCAAGTTGGAGCATGGAGGTCTGTAATGCCCAACTTGGATCGGAAGAAAACAAATAATTCACGTCCCAAGGGCTTAGTAAAAATATCAGCTTGTTATTGAGAGGTCGGGACGTAAGAGGGAGTGAGTAGATAGGACCGAGTTTTTTCACGAACCAAATGACAATCCAACTCAATGTGTTTGGTGCGTTCATGAAAAACCGAATTCCAAGCAATGTGAATAGCAGCTTGGTTGTCACAATGAAGAAGAGCAGGCTGAGAGTGGGGCACAGTGAGGTCGTGCAAGAGAAGACGAATCCAAACAAGCTCACAAGTGGTGGTAGCCACAGCCGATATTTAGCCTCAGCGGAAGAGCGAGAGACAATAGGTTGTTTTTTCGGGCGCCAAGAAAGAGGACCGTCACCTAATTTGACGACATATCTAGTTGTGGAGCTGCATGTAAGTGGACAACTAGCCCAATAAGAGCCACAAAAAGCAGAGAGTTGAAAGCTGCATGCAGAAGAGAAGATGAGACCATAACCAGGAGTGGTCTTTAAGTAGCGAAGGACATGGAGAGCTGCAAGGAGATGAGGTCCACGAGGAGCATGCATGAATTGATTGAGAAAATTGACGGCAAATGTGATCCGGCCGAGAGATAGTCAAGTAGATTAAACAACAAATTAAACAACGATATAAACTAGGATCAGCCAAAAGGTCACCATCTGAGTCAGTAAGTTTGACATGTTGCTCCATAGGAAAGTAAGCAGGGCGTGATCCTAGTTGACCAGAGTTAGAGAGAATATCCAAAGTATATTTTTGTTGATTGATGAAGATGCCCATAGGAGAACGAGCAACCTCAATGCCAAGAAAGTACTTGAGATCACCGAGATCCTTAATCTTGAATGTATGAGCAAGATGAGATTTGATGGAATTGATGGCAAGAAGATCATTCCCAGCCACCAAAATGTCATTGACATATATAAGAACAGCTGTGAAAATCGGGCCCTGGGTTTTACTGAAGAGACTATGATCAGCGGAGGATTAGCCAAAACCTGTAAGAGTGAGAATGTGAGATAATTTTGAGTACCATTGCTGAGATGCCTGTTTGAGACCATAGAGAGACTTGTGAAGATGGCATACAAGCGTCTTCCCCTGAGGACAATACCCTGGTGGGGGTCGCATGTAAACTTCCTCATCAAGGTTGCCATGGAGGAAAGCATTGTGAACATCCAACTGGTGTATAAGCCAATGTTTAGTTGCAGTTATAGCAAGGAGACAACGAACAATGACAAGCTTAGCCACAGGCGCAAACGTATCATGATAATCAAGACCATCTACCTGAGTAAAACCCTCTTGCAACTAAACGAGCTTTATAGTGTTCGATGGAACCATCCGCACACAATTTTGTTTTGTAGATCCATTTGCAACCAATAGCCTTTTTACGTGGAGGAAGGGTTTCAAGGGTCCATGTTTGGTTAGACTCTAAAGCTAGAATTTCAG